AAGTATCAATCTTGTTTCATGCGACCTCTTCCTGGACAGAGAGACACTCCAGAAAGAGAACAAGTGAGGAAGAAAATGGATGCTTCCAATGTCAGCATTCCACCTGGAAGACGGGCAGAAGCCACAGGTGCCAGTGCAGGGGACCCCGGACTGACAGGAGCGCCCCCAGGCCTGACAGCTGCACACAGATGTGATCCACCCTGTGCCGGGCTCCTCGGGTCTGGGGCGCCATCCAGGAGACACGCTGGGCAGTCGCTACGAGGTAACTGTAAAAGGCAGTCACACATTTCAGAGAACCAGAAGCAAAGCTCCTGCCATACAACTGTGTTTGCTGCCCCTCTTTTCCTGTTGTCCAGACCCAAGCTCCAGAGAAATAAACAGTCTTCAGCCCTGTTAACAGTCACAGTGACAACACCTGTGCTTTACAGGCTGCAGACCGGGACCCACTGATGGGCGCTGCGGTCCTCAGCTGACGGGCCGGCGAGGGAGAAGCAGCAGACACAAAGGAACCCACTGGATGTGTGTAACTGTAAGTCTCTGATTATCCTTTCTAATTTTGGAGCCATGTGACTGGACTTCACACAGCGCTGCTGACCCCGTGGGCCTGAGCGCTCTGCGGCTGGACCACAGAGGGCGGGGATGCTGCTCTCCGCTCCTTCATTAAAATATTGTGTTACATTCACAGGGTGAGCTGCTTCCTGAGCGGCGTGCAGCGCTCTGGTCAGCATCAGTGCTCAGAGCGCTCAGAGACCTGGGAGAATTTAACTACCCTTGTCAGATTGATTCCAGGATCTTAAGAGGCTTTAAAGGCTTATAACGAGTGATCTATTCGATATCATAAAAGTAACTATCCTTTAAAGACAAAGAGTGAGCACATGTACTCTTAAAAAATGTCCTTTCCAATCTGATTCTAGAGTACTACAAGTATGAAGTATTTCCTTCTGTGATGTAAGTGGAGATAAGTCCCTCTCTGGCCACAAAGCCTGGCTAAATCCAGGCCTGGGGGGCGTTCCTGAGAGGGAACCACATGTGCTGAGGGGCCACAGGGTCCTCTTCACCCTCCCCAGCCCCTCACCTTTCCTACTGGAAGCAACACAATAGAGACCAGTATCAGCCTGTGTTCAAAGGGAACCACTGGCAGAAAGGGAAGCTGCTGACATAATCTTTAATGGAAAGTAAAAGCATATATTGAAATAGAACAGTATTTTAAAATATGCCTAGGCAATGCCAAACAAAATATTTTTGTTTTAAGCCCCAAAATAAATGGTCTCTGGAGCCTGACTGCCTGGGTTCAAATCCTGGGTGTGGCACTTACCATCTGTGTGGCTTAGAGCAAGTTACTCAACTGCTCTGAGCCTCGGTGTCCTTATCTGGAAAATCGGAACATTAACAGTGCTTTCTCCTGGCTTATTGCGAGAAGTAAGCACCATGTATTTACTAAAGGCGTAAAACCTATGGAATACACGTGACTTGTAGGACACAAAATAGTATTTAGGACCACCCCAAGGAAACAGGGGAGACCCGTGAGAAGAGAGGGGATGCTAGGCATGTGCACTTACTGTATTCATCACTTTTCTTGTGAAAAGATCACACTTATTAACAAGGTTGGAATTTTTTCCAAACCTTGAGCCCTAGCGCTTTGGCCCTGAGTGCCTGGCTGAGGGGAGTTGATCATGGTGACCCTTGTACAGTCAGCATTCCAGTCTGGATTTCCTTAGCGGGCTCCACACCTCTGTCGCCTTCCTTACCTCTGCAGAGGGATATTTTAATGCAGAAGGAATTTTTAAAAGCCTGCTCATTGATTACCTTAAACATTTATGGAGACGCGTTTATTAATGATTTGGTAAAATCTTCCTCAAATTGAACACACATACCACCAACAATAACAACCAGCCCTACAACGACCAACTCAGACTTCTGCCTCTGTAAACACACAGCAGGAGAGAAAGCACATCAAAAGGAAGAATACAGGTGTGGGACCGGGCAGCCTAAAACAGCAGGCAGACCTGGTCTAGGAGCCAGGGAACTTGAATTCTGGTTCCAGGTCTGTCACCAGGTACTTCCATCCCACCCAACTGGGCCTCGGACTCTTTCCTGTAAAACAGGGTTATCTAAGGGCCCCTTCAAGCTGGAAAATGCCCTAATTCTTCAACCCACAGTTCCTCTGGTGTCACACATTCTCCAAAGCACCAAGAAAGCAGAGAAGGTAAAGAAAATACAGAAGTTATTCCACTTTCCTTCAAGTTGCTTAGAATCACTGAGCCCACCCTATTTTTAACCCTGAACAGAGACAGACATCACACACATACAAAAATCCCCTCCACCTGTAACTGCTTACTATCGATGCCAACCCAAAGGACACAAACGGCGTGCGCTGCCCAGCTGGTCTGTCCACGCCTCTAGCGGTGCACCAGGGCGGGGGGTGGTGGCCACTGGTCAGGAATCACGGGGACAGTGCCAGCGCTCATTATTCAGATGCTCCTCATTCAGTCCTGGAACTCGGTCTCATTGCTGGGCAAGATCTCTTGGTTTGACAGTACAGGTGACGCAGCTGAAACCTTATCCCGAGACAGCCTGAAGGACACCACTGTCCAGATCCGAGATGCTCAAATACTGTAACCTACCCCGGTACCTTCTTAACCGTCCGGCTCCGCCCTGCTGATGACCGCCACTCACACTGGCCCCAAAGACGGATGCTTCCTGTTCTGAGTCTGCAAATCATACCTTCAACAAACCTCTCACCTTCCTGCTCTGACTTGCTGGTGTTCACCTCTTGTCTTTATTTACCCTCCCCCTGTGCCTTCTGCAGCAAAGCCTCTCAGCCCAAAATGTATTTCCCAAACTATTTGGATCTGTAATATAAACAACTTCCACTCACTCCAGAAAGTTGGATTGGAATTTCAACGAAATTACCTGCATTTAATCACAATTTACAGTTATCAGAGACGATGGTGAAACTAAAGGACGAAGGTGGCACCATCCACTCAGGGCCACCCCCTCTCAAGGAGGTCCCCTCAGAGGCACCCCTCTCTCAGGGCTCCTCTAGAAATATCCCCCTCTGAGGGGTGCCCCCCCTTCCCTCAGGGACACACCCTCTCAGAGATCCAGGAAGTGTAAATGCAGCTCATCAACCAGCTCTGACTCACACATCACTTCTGCCCCTGCTTTGTCCCAGGCACTGTGCTAGGTGCTTTAACCTAAATTAACTCTTTAAATCTCACAGCCACACAGCATACCAAATACCATTAACCCCACTATGCAAATAGGGAACAAAGAGGGTTTCAGAGCAAGTAAGTGGCTTGCCCAAGTAATTCAGACCAAGGTGCTATACTTTTAAGACCTGTATGACCTAAGAAGACAGCCAACACCCATGGTCTATTTCACATGGAAATGCACCGCTGCACTGTTACAGCGTGCCAGTCCTGAAGGTGCTCACCCAGACCTACGCATTGCTTATGGAAAACGCTTGACATTGGACAGACTTCTCACAAAAAGAGGCTCACTGGAAACCTGTCATATGCATACTGACTTTTTTAAAAAGCACTGACATTTTTTCATACAGCTTTAAAATAGTTTATCCCAATTTAACCTCCCCCTCACCTCCCCAGACACAGGAACTGACACACTTTAATCCAGGAGAAACATATTAAAACTAAATTCATAAAATCGTTAAGAAGTTTAGCATCCTCTGCCCACTGAGGAATGCTAAAGGACATGTAAATGACCCCAGGATGATGAGCAAGAAGAGGTGAGACAGTGGATAATCCATACACAGACAGGTACGGCACATAAAACCTATGCAATGTGTCATTTTGTGCTCTGGGTAGACTTAAATCCTAAAGTAGAGGGAGGAAATAAATATTTATGGCCTCAGCCGATAAACTCAGATTCTCCCCCACCTTCTCAGGAACAGGAAGACTTCCAGAAGAACAGGACCTCACAGAGCAAAGGGCCGAGAGACACTTCAGTGACTGACTAATCCAACACCCTCAGCTTATAATCAAGGAACCTCTGGCTTAATTGAACTACATGCTCCTCGGAATCAAGCAATGCCAGCAGCAGACGAAAGCCAAGACTCCCGGTCTCTTTTCACAGCACCATGCCCTCTACCAAAGCCGTGTCATCGTCAGAGCGCACACCAAGTCATCACCCACAAATACCTGTTCAGGACCCAGTTTACACATGGTAACAAGAAACACCCCCGAACAGAAGGACCACAGCTTGCTAATTTGGCAAACTCCAACTATTCCTCTACCTGCCCCAAAGACCCAAGTTACTTTTTACTCACATCATTCACTTATATCCACGGCAACCAGCCAAATGCTCTTCAAATACGTTCCACACTCATATTTCCCAAAGGAAAAATGCTACAAAAACCACCAGCACTGGAATGAATGAAAATGGGATGGGTACCTTCCCCAGAAAGCCGCCTCCGGGGTGCCTCTGGAGTAGACAGAGCTGCGGGAGCCGCTCAGCCCGTTGGTGATCCCACCAGAACAGCCCATCACTACTCCGCCATCTGCCGAGACGCTCAGGATGTCCTGCTGGCCCCCCGCCGGCGTCCTCTCCAGGAACTGGCCGCCTTCTTTGATGCGCTGCTGTATCATTGGAGTGAGGGGCATTTCAAAGCTGAAATAGCTGTCAGGCTCTGAGTATAACGTCTCCGAGGACCCAGCGCTGTAGTACAGAGAAGTGTTGTCCAAAACGGCCTCAAACTGGGAGCTGTACACGTCCGTGGGGTCCTCCGCACACCCGGGCCCGAGTACGTCGTCCTCCCCGCCCCTCAAGGGCTCCTCTTGCTCAAGAGCCCTGGAAAGCACATACGAGTGAAGAATGTCAGTACTGGGTTAGTTCTTTCTTTTTATTTTCTCCCCTTCAACCATATTAAAAAAATAAAATTCTGTAGAGCTAATAACACTTGGATGCAGTGAGCTTCTGTCCAAATACTTGAGGAGGAAGTGATCACAGAAATATATTCAGGTTGGAAAAACTCAACATACATATGCTATGCTGCCCGCTAAGTAATTTAGTACATTTTCAAATTAGTTCCTAGTATGTGAATACATATTAAATTCTCATTTTAGCCAACTAAACTACACACATTCAAACTAACAACTATCATTCTTAATTTTAACAGAAGAAAAACATATTGTGTACACTTAATGGGCTAAAAATACACTAAACTTTCATCAGTCGGTTAATATTTTCTGATTTAAATAAGACCAAACGCCCTCAGGAGGAATATATTAGCATCCAAGGGACGCCCCCTGGTGACAGTAAGTCAGCACTGCAGGGAGAGTTCAGGTCCAGAAACGGCCAGCCAAGGGACGTGCACACTGCCAGGCTAACCGAAACAGTGAATGCCTAGAAGAAACTTACAAGGTAACATACAGAGCAGGGTGTTAAGTAATTAATATGCAGCATGTTCCTCAAATATTAAGAGTGAACATCAGGA